TAAGATACAGTATTGAGACCTTAGGCAAAAGATATAACACATAACAATAAGAAAATCGTATCGCTTATCCTTCATGCAAATACTTTTCAATCAAAGTATGATAGTCATAAAAAAATTTGTAATTTTCGAGATATATGTATATATCGTCCTCGCTCATTTTAGAAATTCCTAGCGGACTCTATACATGAATCCTAAGAAACTCTATACTAGCTCCACGACTCGACACAGGATGATCCTAAGGATATTGGAACTAGAGCTCTGATACCAACTATGATGCCCCTGTTTTCACACATGGCTGCAGTCCAAGGTGAACCCAGAGATGTCAAACCTGCCATGCACCCACACTGTGTAACAACAAGTTTCACCAATCACAGTAATATCATCTAGTGGGATCAAATAAAAGCGTAGGTACAAAATAGGCAAAGAAGTAGAACGACCATAATAGACATGATAAAGAAGATGATATCTCATAAATAAAGATCATGTCTCAACTGAAAATAAACTAAAATACATTTGGAGTCTGAAATAACATACAATGTCTCAACATGAATCAAAACGAAAAGTCGAACTAAGGCACATTGCCTTTACAAAATAGAAATAAACTCTAAGTCTGAATAAAATTTAAAACTACAGTGGAGCCTCTAGTAAATCTCTCGGGACGGCGACTATGCAAGAACTCCGTCATCCTGCGGCTCTCCGGAACTCCGAGCTACCTGAAAGGGTATTTTTAAAAGAAAAAGAAATAACAATAAGAGCGTCAGAGCGCTATAGCAAGATTACCTCCATCCTCCCCCGAGGGAAGGGCTGCTAGATGGAGTGGAGGCTCTATCTATTAAGCATAGTCTACCTATATTATTTTTCCCGTATCTAGCGGAATTAATATTCAGACACCTACAAAACGAGACATAGTACGTCGAGCGAAATAATCCAAACAAGAAAACCCTCATGTATATACCATATATCCCGAATCGTAAACATCTAAACATTAATACCGAATTAAGGATAAACAATCTAAATGAAATTAACAATTTGAAATCCATAACACGAGACTGGTACGTCGAGCGAAATAATCCAAATAAGAAAACCCTCATGTATATACCATATGTCTCAAATTATGAACCGCTAATCATTGATCCCAACCTAAGAAATAAAGAAAAGCAGAAAAAGAAAAATAAAGACTTCAACATATCGTATTCATAATATCTGCCACTACCACTGGGGAGATAGAATGAATACCGGTACAAATCTCGTGTACTTTCATATGTAAAGTACTCTGGGTCATATATTTTAGCAGTGAGTCAAAAATATAACTGCCATCCGCCAATGACTCAGGTTATCGCTTGGCTATCTCAATGCAACTCCGTGCAAGATTTTGATACTTAGCATTATCATATGTAACGGACTACCCTGTAGGTATCCTAATCAGTGTACACGGCTCATTAGTCTCATCGCGATTTCAGTGCATAACATGAGTGCGGAACGGCCTACCATATAGGTATCCTAAAAGTATGGCTAACAAGCCTCATCGCACCCTCGTGTGGACGGACTGCTAAATAAAGCAACCAAACCCGACTCAATGGCCTGCACAAATGGAATATCGACGCACTACCCCCGTAGTACTGAACTGAGCTCATCAACGATATCCAGAAGGTGTGTGTATAGTATGTTCTAAACTCTTTCTCAAAGTAATTGGGTCTTAACCCTTCATAATCCCTCTCAGAAACCCCAAGTGTGTACTACTGCACTATGCGTGAAAATATGTGTAAAGAAGTATGGCTCGAAGTCCGCGATCACGTCTTAAGTAGACATAAAACAAAACTCAGGAAAAACCGCCTTTGTAGTCGACTACAAGGATTAGTAGTCGACTACTCTGAGTCAATCCAGACTCCGTGACAACAAATTTACTGTTAGTAGTCGACTATTAGGGTCAATAGTTGACTACTCTGCTATAACTCAGTTTTCTGTGTTTCGGATGTTTGACAGAGTAGTCGACTACTATGCTTAGTAGTCGACTACACTGTGAAAACATGAATACTTACGTGCACAAACAGGAAATTAACTTAACTGGCATCTTATCACTTCATATTTACATGATTTAAACTTGTTAAACATACAGTAATAACTATTCTGAGCATGACAACAAAGTATAAATTTGTCTAGTTAGGGTTTTACATCAAAATTAATCATTTTCTTCAATTGATCAATATGTAAACAATATGATAATAATAACATGATTTAAAATCTATATATGAACAGAGATCAATCTTGTTTCAAATTCTGATTTTTACAAAACCTAGATGTCACAAGTCTAGGGTTAAACTTCTTTAAACATCATGTACATTCAATTAATTGCATATTTAGGGTTTAGGCATGATCTAAACATGATTAACGGATTAAAACTAAAACTAAAAGCATCACAATGATTATGATCACAAACTATATACAACAACAAGAAAAACAAGTATAGATCTAGCATGGGTTTATAAAATAACATAAAAATCTAATATTTTTATATCTCATATTAAGATCATGCACATAAACATCAATATTTAACTTCTAATCTAGTTATTTAACTTCTCATATTAAGATCATGCACATAAACATCAATATTTAACTTCTAATCTAGTTATTTAACTATGGGGATGGGTTTGGACGAAGATAATTATTTAACTTCTAATCTAGTTATTTAACTATGGGGATGGGTTTGGACGAAGATAATCTTGCCTCAAGGTGTTGTTGGACTCCTTAACCACGTGCACGCAAGATCTCTCTTCTCCAAAACGCCAAAACTCGTCTTCTTCTCGACAAACTTCTCAATAACACTCCCAAAATTCTTAGTTTAGGGTTAGGGTTTGAGGAGGAAGGTAGCTGGTGATAATCTCACGTGAAATAGGGTAAAAAGAGCTTTAAAACGAATATATATACTTAGGGTAATATCTGGGTTCGGATATAATGCAAATTCAACCCGAAAACTGAAACCTGGCATGTCCAGGAATTCCCGATAGTCGACTACTAAGCTTAGTAGTCGACTACTAAGTGATACACATGTTTCTGAAATCTATACACAGTATTTTGGTGATAACTTTCTCATCCGACCTCAGAATAAGGTGATTAAAGATTTGTTGGAAAGCTGTTGAAAAGACCTACAACTTTGGTCTTTTGAGTTTTTCCAGATTCTAAGTACATCATTGTGTAAAATGTATAAACTCTTAACTGATTATTTTTCCCAGATTTTTCTCGTGCATGTTTTGTGCATTTGCACTCATATATTCATATATATGTATTGAATTGATCTCGAATCAATTCCTAGCATACTCAAATATCAATAAACGTTATTTATCACAATATAACATGTTTATTATTACATATCACAGCATTCAAAATTACGGGGTTTTACAGTTTGGTACGCGGGAATAAGGTGGAATGGAATGGTCATTTTCACTTCTCATTCCCCGATACCAAACGTACCTATTTTTTAGAATTTGGAATGACCATTCCCAGGGAATGATCATTCCCAGAGAATGATTATTCCCACTTTTTATGGGAATGAGCATTCCAAGTGAATTGATAAGGAATGATCATTCTCATTCAGAATCAAATTAGTTACGTAATTTTCAATTATACCCCTATTGATAATTTATCAAATAAGTTAATTTTGATATCTAGAACTGTGGATTGTGAATATCATTCTTTAAATTATTTTTGGACCTAAAAGATGTGATACTCTTTTATTTATTTTTCTTTAATTTTTTAAGACTAAGAAATAATGAGTATTGTTTGAAAAATATAAATAGAACATACACCTGACAGATGACATGTGCATTAGTATAAAACATAGCTAGATTAATATAACATATGCATAAATAAAATTGTTTAGTTATTATCATTAATGTTTATTTTTATCTTATTAAAAATCTATGTTGTTGTAAGGGCATTATTATAAAATAAAATTTCATTCTCGCTTGTGAACTAGTGATACCAAACATGAGAATGTGAATGGGATTTTTATTCTAGCTTCATTCTACAAACGCACACAAACAAGAGAATGAGAATGACAATTCTATTCCCACATACATTCTATTTCATTCATTCTTTCATTCCATTCTCATTTGAGTCTAGTCTCGCGTACCAAACGAGGCGTTGGGTTCTAAGATTAGGTCTGTGAATGAGAGAATTTTGGTCTCGTTTAGAATGTTCATTCTCACTTCTTATCAATTCCCACTTTCTAGATGAATGAGCATTCACAATGAAATGATAGAGAATGGGTATTCGCACTTAAGTGGGAATCAATAAAATATAAAATTTCAAAATACATCCATTCCCACTTCATTTTATAAATTGCATCCAAACAAGAGAATGGAAATGAGTATTTTATTCTCACATTAATTTCATTCCATTCCTTAATCCATTCTATTCTCATTTCACTCGACTCTCACACACCAAACGAGGCGTCAGGGTTTCGACAATGAGAAAAAAAAAGAGAGGTTGGCATTCTGGCAGCATATGTTGTAGGAGTGCGATAAGCAACAAGTTTATCCTCCTGATGTTTTTTGTGGTAATGTTGCAGAGTATGACAGCAGAGCTTTGATTTTGTGCCTGGGAAATGAGCACTTTATGTGAACAATTTTTCACTTCCAATATTATAGATACTAATGATGCGAAAGAATCTGTGCCTGCAAAGAATGCCATGATAATGTTGGTCAATTATGATTTCTTCTGGTTTCTATTGTTAATGATGTTGTTTGTTGGCTTATCTGATGATTTTTCTAGCATAGCAGAAATTTAATCAATTCAGGGAGATATTGTCAGTTACATTCAGATTAAACAAAAATAGTCTACAGACTAGCGGAGAGTTAAGATTGCACATGTCCATTAATTAACTGTTTATGAGAAGGTATTTATACGTTTTATTACGACTTTATTCAGCTCCTTATGCTTGGTATAGCATCAAAAGACCAGTAAATCAGATGACTGAATCATCACTTACCCTGTAAGCAAGATATCAACAATTTGAAGATTAAAATCTGCTAACTGCAACAGCTTTGCACCAACTTTTCACATGACTTAATGCTTCTACTAATGAGAGACAAAGAGGATACCAGCATTGCTGACCAATGAAGGACACTTTGCAAATCAGACAAGAAAGGGACTGAAGATAAAGGTTATTTTGCTGGTTACGTCGAAGTCATCTGCGCATGTTAACAAGCGAAACGTTATGACAGTAAGACACATTTGAGTTCGGGGAACTCATTTATGGCCTCCTTAAAGTTTCCGAAATATCCATCAAGAACTCAATCAAATTCACATATCTATGTGTCAGCAATTGGAGCTTCTGTCAATTTCTTTTCTTTCATGATCTCATATGAGTTTTTGATTGCTTCCCAAAATGCAGGCATGGCATCACTATCTGGTACTTCTTTAAAAGATGGAAGATAGTTTAAATCCACAATGACATGGTCTCCTGTACCTTCTTGAATCTGGAAAATTCAAATGCAAAAAAGCACAAATGCATTCAAACAGTAACCTATGACTTCATTTAGGAAGTAAATAGGTAGGAAAATGTAAGAAATAAGGTGAAGTCCATCACTTACGACAACATCAAATCCGAAAATGGTGAGCCCAAGTCTTTTCTTTAACCATCTTGCAGCATCATTGACTAATTCTACATTAAGAGTCATTTTATCGGCCTTTATCCCCTGATCTGATGGCCGATCCTCTTTGGAAATTGGTAAGGATTTCAAACTGCAGTTAGAAGAGATAAACTCTAGTTTATTAAACTGATCTAATATTGATCACTTTAATCTGATGCTCACTAAATCTACAAGGTACCTGTTAAAAAGGACTGAACCAGACCCATCTTTTTCTGCCATTGATAATAAATAACTAGAATTGGGCATAGACTTCTTCACAGCATGGAAAACTTTCTCTCCTAACACGTAAAATTTGAACAGTGAGGAACCATGGTCCACATATTCCTGTAGTGGGGAAAAATCTCAGGATTTCGTTAAAAGAAACTTATGAATAACAAGGGCACAGGAATAGCTTAGACATGTGTTTTTGGAATGAATAAACATCTATTTAGGAAGGATGCCCTCAGGAGTCACAAATAGTGAGGTGTTAGTTTAGGATATTTCGGATATACAATAACATGACTTATTTCTGTACATCATAATCTGAACAGAAAAATATTTCAATATATTTGATAAACAATTATATCATAGTTCAACAGTCTAACAGAGTTAAAGAAGTTCCTTTGATTGATTGGCAAAAATGTCTTCTAGAAGTTCCTCTGATTGATTGGCAAAACTGTCCTTTAACTATCTTAGCATGTTACAGAAAGCAAAGATCTGGCACATTGGTAGTAGGACAGTAAGAAGTGTACATATTAGAAGGAATCTCCTTTCACCATAAACATGATGCTTGTTTACCTGCACGATAGCAGGAAGTGGAACACCAAGGCCATTAAAGTCTTCATACTTAAACACTAATGCCTGTAAAAAAAGGTTAAATCAATGGAAAAGGGTCAATTCAGTGGAATGATCCAAAAACCAGCAAAAGTAAACCATTACAAGCAAAACAACTAAAGCTGAAGAAAGGATTACTAGTTTATTACTGCAAAGTAAAAAAAAAAAAAAAGAACCCTTCCGTCCTTCACCCAGACACTTCTTTAATATAATGAATTTTGGAGGACTTCTCCTTTCGTTGAGGCTTGCATGACCAACAAGGCAACGAAAAAAGGCTGATTAACTGTTGATCTTCGTAATGAGAGCTTCTTGTGAACATAACCCACTTTAAAGGAATTAGCGCCCATCAAGAGTGTAGATGATCCAGCCCTAGGGGCAACCCAAGCCTATATGGACCAGTTTGACCCTATAAGGGCCAAACCCAGAACTTCAAACTAGTCTGGATAGCGCAAGCTGCCAGTCTCGCAAAACATCGTCAAGATCAATAGGTTTGTCAACAATGACACTCGATGGATTCAAGAAATTCTATCGCTCTGGGGGTCAAAGTCACGCTCAAAGTTTTTCAGACATTTTCGTAAGTTTTGACCATCGGATTTTGAGGGGTAAAATCGCGGTTAAAGTTCTACGGACATTTTTGGTAAGTTCTGACTATCATCAGATTATGAGGGGTACAAGACGTTAGTTTCGGATCAAATTGATATGGAGGATGCAGAATCCAAGTAGAAGGATATTTTCTTTTTCTTTTTTCTTTTTGGGCAAGTTTCTATTTTTGGTAAATATATTATGTTTACCTTTTTATTATTTTGAAGTCTATAGAAGAGTCTTTTGCTGGATGTGGGAGGTAGCTTCTGATGAAATAAAACCCGAGTTTGGCTGCTTATCTGGTATTCTCTCTGCCTTTCTGAGTTTCTGAATTCTGATCTCGTGCAGCCCTAACAGGACTGCATCAGTAGATATCAGGTCAAATTAGTTTTCCAATTCGTCCATCTTGAAGTATTAATCATTATCAATAACTACACAAAAACCAATTTCTGAGACAAAAAGCAAAAACTCTATATATGTTCACTTTTTAGTTGAACTAGCGCGAAACTTACTCTGAGAAACATTGATTCTCCGAAGTTTCACTTAAGAAAACTAGACGATAATAAGTATAATTATGTTTATACAACTAATGTTTTTGTGAAAAAATTACTCCATTTACATACAAAGATTTTTTTTTTGATAATCACATATAATAGTAGTTGAAAAAGGCAGATGTCGCTATGTACTCTTACACATAATAGCGCAGCAGTAAACCAAAGAACAGGAGAAAAGCAAGACTAAACAAGATAGTACCATATCATGAGCATCTGCTACGCCACAAGCAACCTGCGGTTTCACAATAAGTGGAAATGATAACCTAGCTTCTGCTAATTGCTCCTTAAGTTTAGGGTTGTGAAAATTATCAACCTGCACAAACAAACACATGTAATTAACGAAAAATGATTATGCAAAAATTGTGTAAAACTTTTGTCATCCCTGTTTACACTTGTGTTGCCATCCACTTAAATTCTACAGTGAAAGCAAACAGATATAGCTCTAACCAGGATACCTGTAAAAAGTGAGGTGCCCGGAGTCTGTTGCGAGATTCATTACTGAGGTACTGCAGTTCAAGCAGAAGTTGTTGGATCTTGTAGCGATCCAATAAAGGATATATGTTAATAAGCGGATCTATCATGCAACAATCAGAATGAGTCTGAACATACCTGCACAGGGATAACACCAAGTTCAAGCATAAAAGATTAAAAAAATAGGGACAGTAGCAAAAACCAGCATGGAATTTTATCGTATAAGAATAATAATGGGTAAGATAAGGCAAATGTTTACTTGTATTCAATAACTTCTCCATACCTTTTTCACATACAAATTCTGTGCGAGTTAAAGGCGAGGAAGGTTTTCTAAACTTGACAAAGAAGACAATGCAATAGTGAAACTGACTGTCCATGCTTGTAATGCTCTTCTTTGAAAATGACTCATCTAGATGTAAAAGAGAATTTTCTAAACTAGCAGGAACCAATTAAGAATGCTGTTCTAATTAGACACTGTGATGGTGACAAACAGAAATCTAAAACAATGTTTTTCAGATGCAATGGTCAAGGTTTCATTGCAGATTGAATAGGCATAATTAGAGATTCACTTTCCCTCACACTAGATTGAAGACTTCCCCAAAAAAATTTTGAAAGAATGGAGATAGGATCACTATTCCAAACTTGTGTATACAGTATGCTTTTAAATGCATAAAGATGGGATTGCAACAATTCCCTTCAAGTATATGAAAACAGCCGAAAGAGTTGTTGGTAAATTATGCACTTTAAATAGGTCTATTTTAGGTTTTTTTTTTTCCTTATATGAATTTTTTTTAGGAATCCCCACCATATCCCATTTGACAATCAAATGGCATTTCTTTTCTTGTTCTCTTGACAGGACGCTTATCATCTATTTCTAAAGACAAGTCACATCCCATACTCATTTTATTTTTTTTTCATTTAATATATGCCAATGCTATCAGAATTGGGCTTGTTTCCTGAATCATGAAAAGGTCCCAATCCAAATAACATCTTACGATACGTAATCCTAACTATAATCTGGGACCCTTCTTCATTTGCGCTACAATTGCATTTTGTAGTTTGATATATGAGATAGACAGCATATATATTACATTATTTTAGCGTAACAAGAATTTTGATCGATCAAAACATTATAACCAGCAAAGTCAGGTTTCTTGCAACTTTATAGTACAGTTTGTTTAACATAGATCAACACCTTTTTCATCATCAATAGTTATCAAAAAGAAGAAAAGAAAAGGGTTAACAGATTCACTAAGAATGTTTGAAAGGTCTAGAGAATTCACATTAAAAAGAATCGAAAGATTTAGAAGGTTTCAGACCAAAAAGATTTAAAGGACATAATTATCCATTTAATTGCCGTAGCAATGCATTGGATGTAACTACAAAAGTGTGAATCCAAGTTGTGAGCTACAGATGACTAGATAGATTATCCCCATCAGATGGAAAGGAGAAAAGGTTGTATCATACTTGATTTTACTACCATACGCTAAATGCAATTGTATTTCTCGAGTTCTTAAGAAGCTTTGTTGATTTCTCTAGGGTAATATGAACCTGTCAAAGGGAAAATAAAATCCTATGAATTAGTAGTAGCTCATGGGTGATCGGATCCCTTAAGATGTTATAACCCCAGTGAAGGTGTGGTAGCTCATGGGTGATTTGACCATTGAGAAGAGAGTAACCCCCGATAAAGGAGATTTGGCTAAGAATCAAAGGGGAGAAACCAAATAAATTCTCTTGAACAGTAAGAAATCAGCCAAGGACAAGGATATCTCAAGCTAGAGAAGAAGAGCCAAGAGCCAAAATTGGAACCCTTGAAATGTGGGTAAGGGTCTCTAATTATAGAATGAGAACTCTTGGTTACATGAAGCTAGTTTACACGCCCCTAATATCACAGCCTAAATGATATGGTGGTGGCTTTTTGTATCCTTGCATATGCATTTTGTGGGTGTTTTGTCTCTTCTGCATTGCATTCTTCTGACTGGTTGTAGGCCTGACTGCTAGCGGCCATCATTGCTGGAGTTGCAGGCCCTTAACCCTCATACGACACGGGATCAAGTAGTCCCGCGTAAACATGCCAACCCCACAAATGGTGACTTAGCCATTTTTCAAGCGGGCTTTGGTGTTGATTCTCGCTCCACCATGACTTAAAACTTTCTCTCAAGTTGTATCCTTAGCTGATTGTGGGTTCATATAACTCTGATGAACCCGTTGGCATGTGGAATGACCTTTTTGCCCTTAGTGGGCCCCACATCATAGCGTTTGAGCTAGATTGATAGTCTGACATACTGACCGTCTACACACCCGTTCTCATGCAATATAGCGGGTAAGTGAGAATATGGACTAAGCATTGTTTAATATGAAAGCCTCGTAGTATCAATGACAAATGGTGCCGGCTTTACAATTAACATTATTACACTTGTATCAACATAACTGTAATGAGGGTTCATGTGAGGGTTATTATTCTAACTACCTTTCATGTGGAAAATGACATTTTGCAGTAGAATGTTGATGAAAACATTTGTGGAAAGCAAAGACCTTATAAAAAATACATATTATGTTCAGATGATTTCCATTTTAAACTCCAACCTTATGCTTATTTTTCTTGTCTTTTGCCTGTCAATTAAAATCCTGGAAAGAAAATAGACGATTGCGTGAGGTAACCAGCAGAGAGTGTAATAAGTGAGATTTCAAGTGAAATGAATCCCTAGTAATAGGATCCATATAGGCACGCCTAAAAATTAGAATAAAGTCTTGCATTGTCTTATGCTTTAATTTGAGGCCACTGTATCATGGTCTAAAAGTATCCTTAAATCTGCAGAAATCATAGATTTTAGTGAGCACTGTGCATTAGCATGTTGACATGCATGGTTATGGCCTATGATAGTCACAAGATAATTCTTACCAAAACTGGAGTGTGATGTCCATTATGTACCAAAATTGGAAGCCGTATGCCTCTCAGAAAGTATTATTAGATATCGTTTTAATATATAATTTTTAGATATAAAGTCTTTTTAAATAGTCTTCTGCTTTAATTTGAGCCTAATGTGTCATGGTCTAAAAGTTAAAAGTTATCCTTAAATATGGAGAAACCATAGATTCTAGCGAGCACTGTGCATTAGCATGTAGACATGCATGGTTATGGCTTATGATATTCACAAGATAATTCTTACCAAAGTTGGAGTGTGATGTCTAATATGTTGGATGGTTGCAAAACCTTACACCAAAATTGACCTTATGCCTCTTGGAAAGTATTATTAGCTATGGTTTTAATAAATTATTTCACTGAGTACCTTGTATATACAAACACCACCACCACAATGCCCACATGAACACGCACACACGTGCAAGCACGAGCATGCAGGCTAAATATACAAATTTCCAACAAAGTAGATAACTGTTATTTTGCAGCTTCATTTTGGAGTACAGGGCCAAATACCCGTATCTGAAACGGAAGTGTTCACAATCACAGGAGATTATCAGCATTTAATAGGTGCGAGGATATGAAAGATGGAAATATTACAAAATCTGTAAACTTGAAATTATCTGTTGAGCTGTGCAGTATCCTTTCTAATTCAATTCACCAGAAAAAAGAACATAGAAGTTTTCTTGGGAAAAAACAACACCACTTTTCCCTAGCTTTTTGGTACTATCTATAACAAACACTTGATCTCTTATTTATTCAATCCAGTCTCTTGTAATATTTCCATCTACGCTATAATAAGCATTTGACCATGTCTTTATAGAGAAGTTTCAAGTTTACACAAATAATAGAATTATTTTCTTCAACTTAGAATTATATGCTAAATAATCCATCTCTTTCCACTCTTACTTTTGTGTGAATCTCTCTTTACTTTCGTAACTAAAATAGATTAAAATGCTAGCAACTGAAAAGTTCTTCCAATGAAAGGAAGTAAAAAAATTACAGAATGCAACTTTCATAAAAGAATCTGTGGAAAATGCAAATGGTATTTAAAGAACAATTAAATCCTTACTGAACCTTATATGTCACTACACTACGAAAAAGAACCAAATAGAAGTTTTCTATTTCTGAAACAAGCAATTTAGAGATTGTTTGCACAGACTACTAAGCTACTTTTTTTAGTTGCATTTTGATTAAGGTAGCAACTTAGTTGAGTAAGAGAATGAACTTTGAGACCAAGAAAACAAGGTTCATTTTTTTATTGTAAACTCAAGTCATCTCTGAGGCTTTAACTAGAGAAGACATGTACATGACAGGCATAAAAACTTATAAGATCTACTAAAGTAACGTGTAAACTTCATATCTCGAATCTGGAGAATATAAGCACATATGATGATATGGAAACACCTGTATTCATTTAATTTATTATATCATAGCACTATGCTTCAACACACAGATCAGAAATCTCTATGATTCTGAAATGCAAACTAAAAAACAGGAGAGGTTATCCATCCAAATTTGCAGAACAGGATATAATGCCACCTGAGAGCCCAATACATAAGATCTTGACATAAGAACTCATAACAGTAGAATTCTTGAATATAAGTGAAAACTAAATATGAAAGGTATAACTTCATTTTTGACTAATATATCCAAGGTTACACAAAGCGCTAGGCGGGCTAGGCGTTGGACCCAACTCCTAGAGCCTAGGCAGCTAGGCAGAAGCCTAGGCAGGGACTAGGGGTTTTCCTTTTTTTTAGTTTTCAATTAAAATTATTGATAGTAAATGTCAGTGTTATAGAAAGTTTAGGCACTAGGCTGATACTTAGACAGATTTCTTTAGTGGTGGTGGAGGTTTTGCTAAAAGTCAGGAGAGATAGAGGTGTTCATAGTTAGAGTTGGGCGGAGGTTAGAGGACATGGAGGTTGCAATGGAGGAAATCATGATTAATGCCTAAAGGGTGCAGTCCATGTAGGCATACCATGCCCCCTAGGCGCTCCCAAAACCTAGGTGGGCAGCCTAGGTACCGCCTAGGCGCTAAGTAGGCAACCAAGGTACAGCTTAGGCCTAGGCGTGCACCTAGGCGGGCTAGACTTAGGCTTTTTAAAACGTTGAATATATCAATAAACTCAATAAGGAACATTGTCAAATCTGAAAATTACCTTTCCAGTTCATGCATTCCTTTGGAAAATGAAATCCCCTTGGGGAAATCTAAAGGAAAGGACAAGTCAATGCTGATGATCTCATCTGTTGCTTTATGGAGAACTGCATCCACATTTTGTACTTGAGATGCTAATGGAAGGTGGAACCTGATAGGAACAAACACCAATCCATTTTTTGTAGGATGCACAGGGAAAGCACCTCTCTATTAAAAAAAAGAGTAAGAAACCCAGGCAACAAAGTATTAGTTACAATATATTACTTATTGGAACCTTTTATTTAATTGACTTGCCTTGAAAAAGTCCTCTTCACGAGATGGTTTCATAACATAGCCAATTGTCAGAACTTTTTTGTTGTCCACTGCCTGATCAGATATTTAGAAAATAAACTTAGCAAATAGATTCTCATTTCTCAGCGCAGCAGGCTGAAAAAAAAATCGCAAAAAGAAATAGGCACTCCTACAAAGATAATAAAACACAAAACCGAAGACAACTTTTACTAAAACTGATAACTAATGAGAAGTACCTACAACTTGCTGGTACGCATGCATTTAATCAAAGCATCAAAAAGACTCAGCACCTGGATAGATGTAAGGACCCATAAAAGGGAATAAAAGATCTTTTCTTTGCCATTAAAGATATTCCCACTCTCACAACTCTAACTGTCTATGTTATGGTGTCAGATAAAAGTTAATCTTTCCTACAAAACCACAAATCTTTCTGAAACAACTCTAAGCTATAGCCTATGAACAGTTCATTAAGTGAATCCGTTACAGTGTTGATTCTAAATTTTACAACAGGTAACGGCTTTGGTTCTCCTTTTCAGGTACATCATCACGAGTTCTGAAATTACAGGTTGGACTACAGAATTATTGACAAGGGTATCTGGTGTCTTACAAACTATTTCAAATTATAAAATAGTTAAGACAATAAGAGTTTGACAAGTTTATTGAATAATTTCTAAAGATTGTCCTGGGCCTCAACAAAACAACAATTTCTAACTACCTATGATGTCGGCAGATGCAAGGTTTGAGAAATCAACATGTACAACTAAAACCAATGGGTTCACAACCTTAAATTTTGTCTGCGCCATCAAATTAGAAATTAGATTGTCCAAACAATCTCATAATATCAATAGAATAGATGTTGAATTATACTTCTCATATTTTTATATAAATAACACAGAAGAACACTATTTTCAACTAATCTCCTATCACATTTTACGATACACCCCAATTTCTGCAAAAAATCCCCATATTATGAGGATCAAAACTACGCAAAATCAGAACTTGCTATAATATTCATCATGAATTAATTAAAAACCCCAAATTTGATTCCAAATGAAGATAAAAACAGCTGCATTTTGGGGCTTTACTCGTCCTTTTCACCAAGATTGTCACAAAAAAGAAAAATAGATGGGAGGAGTTACCTCCGATTCCTCCATCTGAGATGAAGAGGACACTGTAGAAGATCGAAGACGATGATCGGCGACTGCAGTGGCGTCGGATCGAGGGCTGATGAGATCCAGGGTTGAGGACTGAGAGGAGATGAGGAAAGTGTAGGGTACTTGAAGAGGAATGGGAATCCTGAAATTTTCATTTTAGCACTTTTGGCTTATTTTTTATATAGTGCGTAAAATTTTAAATTACCAATTATGCTCAAGCTTATGTAACAATGTTGAGTTTACTATAATGTATTAAATTTTGGGACAGAAAAGAAAACAGATGATATCAACGCCCCCAAAAAAATAAAGGGGATATCATCAGGCCCCACTATTTTTTTTTTTTTTTGCCAAAGCCCCAAAGACATGAATGTATAATGTTTTAGCCCTAGTTACATTTCCACTGCATCATAGTGAGAATTTTTTTACAAAACCCAAAACTACCCTTAAACCATTACCCAAAACTATCTGCCCTCTCTCTCCTCTCTTCTCACGCTCAAACCAATCCTCTCCTCGCTCCTCTCCGCCACCACGTCATCAT